ATACTAGAAGATAGGAGGGATAGGGAGCCGCGTATATATCCGTTTTTACTAATATATCGGAAAAACCGCCGTAGGACCGATTTAGATATTAAAAAGTTAGAGCTAGTCGCTAGTCGCGCAATCGATACGGGTAGTCCCCTAGCAGAGAGAAGGGTAGCTAGTAGTTTATCGCGAACCCGTCCGTCGCATCACCCCGTCAACCCGTAGGCCCTATTAAAATCTACTAATACATTAACTAAGAACCGCTATAAGCCATCAACAAAACAGCAAATCAACCAAACAGCGTAGCAAAATCATCATCAACATATCGACAATAGGGCTATTCGCATACGCGTCCGATTTCAATTTAGTTATTTATAAAGAGTACGGGTTTACAGTATTAGGCAATAAGGTAGAGGGCTATTTACAGAGCGGGAAGCATCGGTTCGACGTTACAAGCAGGTAGAAAGTTAAGGAGACGGTCCAGGAGATTAAAGGTTTAATCTATAACCAGCAGCAATTAACAGCGCAGTTCCAGATACCGGCGAGGCCTATTAAGGCCGTTAAAGAATTACCAGTTTATAAGGACGGGTTTACGTACGAGTTAGAAGGGCCTAGAAATAGAGACGAGAGTAGCAAGTACGGTTACATAATACGAAAAGTAGATAGGATTAAAAAGCATTACAAGAAGGAGCATAGATAGGTTAATCCCCAAGGAAGAGGCGGGTTATTAGCGCAGCGACGCAGGGCCTATAAAATCGAAAGGCCATAGCGGGTCGGCGTACGTTACTAAAGGTTTTTTACGCGCGGGCCCATACAGAGTTTTTTCGAGGTATTACCGGCAGGCCAGCAAGAGGAGGGACACCCTATCACGGCAAGCCAGCAAGTCCGTAAGCAGATCGAGTTACGCATAAAGGCGAACGAAGAACAGCGAAAAAGAATCGTTTAGCTATAATAAAAATTAGACGCGAACCCGTAGTTAAGGCGGGTTAGTTAGGTAGAGCATTTAGCCGGGTTCGATATAAAGGAGTTAAGGCAATTAGTCGAGTTACTAGCCGACTAGGAGCAGCGTCAGCAAGAGGAGGATCGGCAGAAAAGAAGGCAGAACGGGCCACCTAATAGGGCAGAGCGACACCGCCAGCAGCGCTAGCAGAGTCGGGTCGAGATTTTAGCAATCATATATACTAGTTTAGACGAAGTTATCGACCGGGCCTAGGACACAATTTTAACGTCGGTTAGCAACTAGGTTTTATTCGAGATTAACCGTAAAGATATAAACGCGAAGCCGAACTATCCGTTCCTAGGACGCATAGAAGAGGATACGAAGAAGCGGTATAAGCAGGCATAGCAGCGCATAATCGGGTATATTTTCCGCACATACACCAAGGTAAAAGAGGATAGACCGCCATACAAGTTAACCCGAGAGTAAGCTAGGGCGTAGCAAGATTTCGCAGACGAGGCCCGGTCGCAGTAGTTACAAGAGAAGGAGAGAGAGAAGAGCGAGGTAGCTAGTAGTACGGTCGAAGAGGACATTAGATACGACGAAGATAAGGAGGAAGAATAAGAAGAAGAAGAGGCGGAGAACGACGAAGAGGCAGTAGAAAATAAAAGAGAACTAATAAGCCGGATTAACCGTAATTGTTTAGCGTTTTATATTAGTTTATTAGACCATAAAACAGAGGACAACAACTATACAAACGCGTTAATTAGCGGGTTAGCCGTATTAGGAGTCGAGAAGGAGAGGAGAGGGTAGTAGAGCCCTATAGATTATACGCCCCGGTTATCCGCAGTAATCAAGGTTACAAGGATAATAGTCGTGCAGAGCGCATAGGAGGAGGCTAGAGAGACCGAGGACGGCAGGATTTAGCGGCGGGTAAGAGAGATAGTCCAGCGGTTTATAGTACGGGATATACCAACGCCTATAGGTTAGATATTCGAGGCGCGCACGTACGGTATAAAGATTTAATACACGACGATAGCCCCCGGGTTAGTAAGATAGAAGGGGGATACGTTAGTATACCGTAGCACCGAGTTTAGCATAGACTAGATAAAGAGTTAGATACATAGAATAGTAGGCCGGTATCGGCAGACGTTAGTAGAAGAGATAATAGGGGTTACGCCCGCACAGGAGAGAAGGGGAGAGTTACCCGCTATCCCATAGGCCGAGTTACGAGACGACCCCAGTATCGACGAGCCGGGTTAGTTTTTTATACGTAATCCATTAAACAGATTCGAGGTAGACGGCGATTAGTAGTTATTTCACCAGTTAATAGAGAGAGGGGGCGAGGAGGATAAGGATAACAGCAGGAGCCGACCGCGGCAATAGGAATTTATCGATATAAGAAAAAATCCCCCCGCTATACGAGACGTCTAGCCGGCCGTAGGAGACGTCCAGCCGGCCGCAGGAGACGTCCAGCCGGCCGTAGGAGACGTCCAGCCGGCCGCAGGAGACATCCCCCCAGCTACCATCAAAGTCGACAGGGAGGCCGTTAAAGCATTTAGGCGAACCGTAAGCCGATTCAAGGAGCAGTTAGCCGTATTAATATACACTACAGGGGGCGGGCCCTCGCGTATACTAGAGTTAATCAGCACCCGGTATTACAATACAGTTAACGGTAGCCAGCGAAACATATTTATTAAAGACGGTTTAATAGTTTACGTAACCCGGTACCACAAGGGCCACGGCAGGGATAGCAGTTTAAAGATTATCCACCGGCATTTACCGCGCGAGGTAGGCGAGTTATTGTTTTATTATATATAGTTAGTAATTCCGTTCGAACGGCAGTTAGCCGTCGCATATAAAGAGAAGGATAGGCCGCCAGAGGAACACGGTTATATTTAGAGCAAGGAGGGCCCAGGTACAGTAAAGTAGACGGAGAACCGGTTCCGCAAGTCGTTAGTCAACGAGAGCAAGATCGGAATGGGGGTGCCGTTGAGTATGGCTACGTACCGATAGTGCATCCAGGCTATAGGCAATAAATATATTAAGGGGGACCACTATTTCGACGCCGACGGAGCCGGCAAGGCCGAGTTAGAAGAAGGAGAAGGCGAGGGAGGAGAAGAGAAGGACTATACATAGGATTTAATATTCTGCTATAGCACGCGTATGGCGGGCGCAATTTATAGCCGGTTAATATTAGAGGCCGTAGACGAGATTCGGTCTATAATAGAGCGGTATAGGGCGGCTAGCGTTAGGTTCCATTATTTCCAGGAGCACGCGTCTACGTTATAGCAATTACGCAGGAAGCGGCCCGCGGCGGTAACAGCCGAGGCTATAGACACGCAGTTTAGGCGGTAGAAGCGGGTCAAGATAGTCGACCGGTTATAGATATTACGCCAGGTAGCCGGCCAGCAGGATGCCGAGTTTAGAGGGGTACAGGAGTAGGCTATTAAGGCGGTTATTAAAGGCCGCAGCCCCGTGTTAGTAGTAATAGGCACAGACGGCGGTAAGAGTATAGTTTTTATAGTTCCGGCTATATATACCGCTAGCACCAGCGAGCCAGGCACGACAGTTATCGTAGTTCCATTAATATCGTTACGAGAGAACATAGCGGAAAGGTGTCGCAGAGCAGGTATTTCCGCGGTAGAATAGGATAGCCGGCGGCCACCTAGTAGAGATACGTCCATCGTATTCATTACCCTAGAGGCGGCTATAACCAAGACGTTTAGCGATTATTTAGAGCGGTTAAGGAGCCAGTAGCGGTTAGAGAGAATTGTTGTCGACGAGTACTATACTACGTTAGATAGTAGGGCGGATTTCCGGCCCAAGTTAAGGGAGATAGGCGAGTTAGTAAGGAAAGAGGTACAGATAATTATATTAACGGCAACGTTACCCCCGGCAGAAGCATAGACAAGGACACACACACCTCTCGCACTAATGGGATCGCTATAACCAGCGCCCCCAGAACCTCGAAAATACTATCAAACGAATCAGCACAGCCTACTTACTTTGCAGACTAACTTGCACCAGGCCGTAGGCCTTGGTTGTTGTGTTAACTGCGGGTAAAAACCTCTCTACCGGTTCCCCCAGTAGACAAAATTTTCGGCGTTCCCCGCCAAGACACCGCACAGACCCTATCCTATCTCTGCCCCAGGCAGACTTCCTAGCCCGGAATAACACACCTCGGGCAAATACTATGGCAAAAACACAAGTCCGGGTTCTTAAACCCCCTAC